CCTGGTACAACCCAACCTTCCTCCTCTCTCTGCCCTAACCCATTGCAACCCATCCACCCCAGCCTCCATCCCAAAATCCAGCCCATGTTCAGAATTTACCTCCTGGGCTTTGCTGAGCTCCCCAGTAGGATGTGACTGTTCATTTTTTTCAGCCCTGGAGGTGTGATGGTCCCCTCTCTTGTCATATGTTCTCAATCCTCTTTGCAGCAAAGATTTTTTCTTTTCTTTTTTAAGTTTATTTTTTTTTTGAGAGAGAGAGAGAAAGTGGGGGAGGGGGCAGAAAGAGTGAATCCCAAGCCAGCTCGCTGTCAGCACAGAGCTTGACCCTGGGCTCCCGCTCCCTGAGAGCATGACCTGAGCCCAAGTCGAGAGTCGGACACTCAACCGACCGAGTCACCCAGGCTCCCCACCGCAAAGGTCCTGAACTCCTTTTCCGAGTCGCCCGGGATGCTCTCTAAAATGGCACACGCCTGGGAACCGCCCGAGAGACTCGGGCGCAGCAGCCGGAGCGGGGTGCACCTGTCTATGTTTAATGCACATTCTGAGGGTCAGCCAAGAGGGAGAACGGTTGCCTCGTTTTGAGTTTTTCCTCCCTGGGAGCAAAGGGGAGAGATGCTTGGAAGGATCCACAGAAAGGCCCATTTGGTGGCATCTCTGAACCTCCTTGTCCTTAACTTTAAGATGAGGATGCCAACCCCTACTTCCTCGGGTGGTTATGAAGCTTACGGGAGGGGAGAGAGACTGAACACCCGAGACTGAGTCCAGACGCCCCACACACACCTTTACCTCCGCCAACAGCAAAGACCGCTGGCTCGGCACAGGGGGTCATTCATGATGATCGGAGTGATTTCTATCCGAACCACTTGTGCTCTGCACAAGGAGTTACCACATGTCCTCTGGCTGCACCAGGCTCTGGACACAGACAGAAACCGCATGGAAGTTATTTCGTCACTCGGTGGCTTAACCGTAAACACTTCTCTTTCTGGAAAAGAAGAGCTTTTCGACACTGCGACCTCGGTTCGCAGAATGGAAGCGCGGCCACCGCATTCATCCCCCAAAGAGGACACCGCCCTGGAGGGTGTCCACAGGTTGTCACCTACAGCGTCTCCTCTAATCGTCCTGAGGCCGTGCGAGGTGTCCAACGTGCGGAACTCACGACAAGAGAAGAGCTGTGAGGAGTTGCACGAGTAGGAAGTGGCAAAGCTAAAAGTCGAGCCCACTCAGCACAATGTCAAGTGCAATGTTGTTTACGCTTCACCACAACCGACCCCAACAATCACCCTGCTAACCGGCTCACGTGTGTAGACCTCCATCCTGATCACAGAGTTAAAATGCATGAGGCACAGGACGCGTTCCTTGGCTGCCGTGAAGCAGATTAGCCGTGTGCCACGCGGGGTATACTTCCAGGCTCGGTGACCTTGTTTCCTACCCCAGATCACGTTCCTGTTAGCAAACTCCCACTCCGCCTCCAAATTCAGGCACACATCCACATGTCCGGCTTTCCCTGCCACTGGACTGGCATCCCAGTTGCCTGGACCCATTTTTTTTTTTTTAATTAAACAGAAAACAGACTAAATCTTGCAGTTTCAGTTCTTTGGGGCTAAGATGCAAAAGCGAACCACAACAGTCCAACTTGCTGTCGCTGCTGGGGGACAGCATATCAGATCATCAGACGAGGTTGCTGCCCAAGACGGAAATAGGGAGACCCACCATTGCCTTGGATCGTCTGTCCAGAACTTAATTTCCTCCATCTTCTTAATCCCAAACGCCTCTTCTGCAGAAGAAAGCCTTCATTTTCTAACAAATTGTTTGCTTTTTTTTTTCCAAGTAAGTTGACTTAAAAGGCAAATAGCCCCTAAATTCGCACTAAAGTGTAAATGACTGACAGTCGACCCTTCCACGTAGTACATTTTCTGAGGGTAGAGGGCCTGAAAGCAGTGTGGGCTCCAGGCATCAGAAGGGGTGAGGCACGGATGGCAGGCAGACAGGTAGCGGTCACGTGTGAAGGAAGGACTCAAAACCTGGAGGCCCAGAAAACTTATATCGTCTTCTCCACCTCTTGTCACAGCTCCAGAAGCGTAGGTGACAAACGACAGTAGCATCTGGTGTAGAAAATCATGATTCTACAAGTCCACACGTAACCATGTGTTCACGGCATCGGGCCCTGCCACCCTCTGTCCCCACACAAGGTTATTACGGTATTACTGACTGTATTCCCCAACTGTACTTCCCATCTCCAACTCACCTATTTGATAACCATGGGTTTGTATCTCTTCCCCCCTTCACCCACCTCTTCTGTCTCCCCGTCCCCTCCCCTCGGGCCACCCCTCATCCTCCATATTTGAGTCCGTTTCTGTTTTTGTGGTTGTTTGTGCATTAGGGGTTTTTTTAAGGTTTGAGGTTTTATTTTTAGGTAATCTCCACACCCAACATGGGGGTCGAACTCACGACCCCACGATCCAGAGTCACATGCTGCATTGACTGAGCGAGCCAGGCACCCCTCATTTGGTTTTTTAGATTCCAAATGTAAGTGAAATCATATGGTATTTGTCTTTCTCTGTCTGACTTATTTCACTTAGCATAATACACTCTCGGTCCATTCATGTTGCCACAATGACAAGATTTCATTTTTTTTTTTATGGCTGAGTAATATTCTATTATGTATAATTATCCTATTATATATAATTTTTCACTATATATTAGATATATATCTGTATTACATATATCACATCTTCTTTATCCATTCATCTATCTACGGACACTTACGTTGCTTCCATATTTGGCTGTTGGAGATAATGCTGCAATAAACATAGGGCCGCATATATATATTACTGTCATCCTTTTCCTTGGGTAGATACCCAGAAGTGCATTACTAGAACATAAGGTCCTTCTATTTTTATTTTTTTGCAGAATTCTGTCTAGCATAACATTTATACAAACACCACGAGTTTTGGATTCTTGCATAAATCGCTGACCAGGATGTTCAGAAGAAAGTGCCTTTATGAACCTTGTAAACAAGCCAATGCATCAAAATATCTCAACACAGGGTAGACCAGTGTTCAGGCAACCTTAGTGGGCAGAGGATTTGTCACTGGAGATCTAAACTAGGGGAAGCGGGGCACCTGGGTGGCTCAGTCGGTTAAGTGTCCGACTTCGGCTCAGGTCATGATCTCGCGGTCCGTGAGTTTGAGCCCCGCATCAGGCTCTGTGCTGACAGCTCAGAGCCTGGAGCCTGTTTCAGATTCTGTGTCTCCCTCTCTCTCTGACCCTCCCCCGTTCACGCTGTCTCCCCCTATCTCAAAAATAAATGTTAAAAAAAATACTTAAAAAAAAAATAAACTGGGGGAAGCCACATCCTGATTAAGTTGTGCGCCTCGGACGGTTGACACGATCACGACCTTAGAACGGCTTGAAAAACCCAAGGAGGTTGCACACGCATTCAGGGCCTGGGCTTCTGCAACTGTGCACGTTTGCCTTGTGTTTGCCCTTCGAGGTCCAGTTCTAGCTCGACCTCGTCCGTGAAGCCTTCCTTGATTCCACCTTCCCCCACCATTGCTTTTTCCTCCAGACTCCCGTAGCATTTCATCCCAACCGCTCTGACCTTCTCTCCCATAATCGAGTACCCGTCACAGCACCTGGCATATGGTGGGTCACAGGAAACATTTGGGTGAATGCAGGAATCTACACCGGGAGCCTTAATCTGCTGCCCAGATATGTTCTAACCTGAGACGGATTTCTTTGGATTTTTCCAAAGCTCATGAGAAACTTCTAGAGGGACCCGAACTAAGTACTGTATAGCATCCCAAACAAAGGCCTATTTCCATATCAACACATGTCCTGTGTCGTAAACATTGGTCATGTTGACAAACACATTTATACACGCCACACCTGTCCTTGCAGGATACATGTAAATATATGTAAATGAACACACACAAAGACTGTCTAGTGACATGATCTACATGTACATCAGAATAACTGTGACCAGGTGACATGATTTAAAACCTGCCCAGGGGCCCCTCAAAACCAGTGCAGCCCATTTGCAGCCACAGGGGCTGAAAATCCTCTCCCCACATCTTTTCCCCTGGGGCACACACACCATCTAGTCCTCCTCGGTGAACACAAGCCAGGGTTCCCCAGTTTGTCGCAGGCCTGGACCGGGTGCTCATCATGGGGCAGCCGGGCTCCCAGGTGTGGTTGCTGGAGTGCCTGCCCACTCGGAGTCTCAGGACCCATGGCTTGGATTGAGTCCGAGCCACCCCCCACCCCCCCCACTCAGCGCGTGACCTGTACAAGTTCTCTTCTCCGGATCTGATCTCCTCTGCAAAATGCAGGACATGACAGCATCCTGAGGCCGTGCGAGGATGGCCGGACACGACAGATGTACAGCAGGTACGTGTGGGACGTCGTACGTACTCAACACACTGAGTACTCTTATCATCATCACTGTTGCTTTCTTTGTCCTTCCCATGGAAAATCCAGCTTGCGGCCTGGGGATTTTCTAATACGATGACGCCCAAACCCCATCTCCCAGAAGCTGCTCCAGGACCCCACACGGGCCCTGCTTGCTGACCACACGCCCAGCCACGCTCTCCTCACATCCAGAGAGGCTCTGGGATCCCCGGCCCCAAGATAACTACCATGAATCCAACAACACCCCTGCATAAATTAACCCGGCCCCAGCATCTGCCACACCTAGGAAATGGAAACCCACAGGTAACTGCTATTCTCGAACTTCAGGATCAAGCTTCCCTTCCTTCCCCTAGACCAGACAGCTTGGCAAGAGTAAATCTCTGACCAAAAAACCCCAAGAACAGAGAAGAGCAAGTTGCAATTGTTTTTCTGTTGCGGGACACCGCCACCCCACCGTGGGGTCCCACATCGCGTTGTGGCATTGCACAAGTCTCCGAGCATCATTAACCCGTGTTGCTTCATGTTGCTGATGGGGCAATTGTTCAAAACACAGCTTTTATAAGAGACCAGAAGAGGACCGTGAGGGACATCTGATCCGCTGAACTCGAGGGTACCCAGGAGGAGAGGACCCTGCCCCAAGGGCCAGAGCAAGGCCAGGATGGCAGTGCTTGCGGGAAAGGCCATGTTCAGTCTGACGATGCTTCTGCCTCTGCTCTCATTCCTCCTGCACCTCTCCGGGGCCTTTCCGGTACGTTGGGAATCCCCGGAAGAGGAGACCACGCAAGTCGTTCAGGTAAGTTGACAATCCAGCAGGCGCGTGGTTGATGTGCCGCTTATTAGGAAATCGTGTGGGTTGTTTCTTCTTTCTAGTTAAATCAGCCCGAATGGAATTGTGCGGTTGCTTTGTTTGAGCTTGAACGTCTCGTGTCAGGGCTTTGGAGGGCCCCAGGCGGGGCTCTTCGATCCCAGGAAAAATATCGCTGTTGGGCTCCCTCCGGCTGGGGAGCCGTTGAGCAGGAACGGTTTTAATTGCAAGACTAAATGATTTTCTTTCTCGCAAACCTAAGATTCCCCCGTTCGCTTATATGCAGCCCAGTGACTCCATGTCCGGTGTTGTCTGTATGGACTTGTCTTCGCAGCCAAAAATCTCAGGGGGACTAGAGAGCGTGAGGACAGGAAATCAGAAGGAACTAGAAAGCAATGCATAGTGCAGTGAGATTTCCTACTCCAGATTCTGAGGCTGTCTACGAACTATTCCGGGCACCATCAAAGCCAAACCCATAGCTTTTCCCCTCATCCCACAGTACAAGAGTCAGGCCACATTTTGAAGAAGCACCGGGAACGCTGTCACCGATTTGTCACGTGCAGTTTTCTTAGCATTGCAGTTGTAGAAAAGCATTCTTTCTTTTGCTTTTTCCCTTTGCTTTGTTCTTGAATATATCTTGCAGTGAGAATACTAAGCCCCAGGCTAATAGCTAGAGCTCACAGAGTGCTTACTCTGCACAAGACACCCCACTAAACGTTTCCCCAACACTGTCTCATGTCGACCTCACTGCAGCCCTGCAAGGGGGGATTATTGTTCCCACTGTGGACACTAAAGTGAGTCTTGAATCACTTCTGTGATGTGCCCAAAAACTCAGTTAATCTAAGGCAGAGCTAGTATTCGAACCCCAGCCTCTGTGAATCCCCCTTTCCCCATTTCTGTGCTCTGTCGTGTGCCCCTGGCCCCTTCCAGAGGATCTGCGGTGGATAAGAGGCTAATGCCGATGATGGTGCCGTTGCCCCAAACCTATCCGGAGCTCTCGTGAAACTGTCCGTTCTCACTTAAGAAGCATCCAGAAGGTCTGGGACTTGAATGGGCGTCTCGGCAATTTCCCTCCACGCACGCACTTGCGTGTCTTAGCGACAGGGACTAAACCTTCTCTAGAGGAGCAAAAAGATACGTAAGAGAGACTCTGCATTGATGCAACTGATACCTTAAAACATCAACAAATGCGGGGGCACCTGAGCGGCTCGGTCGGTAAACGTCCAATTTCAGCTCAGGTCACGATCTCACGGTTCATTAGATGGAGCCCCACGTCCCACTCTGCGCTCACAGTGTCAGCAGCGTCTCGTTGGGATTCTCTCCCCCTCTCTCTCCGCCCGTCCCTCCTTCTGTCAAAATAAATGAACTTAAAACACTTCAAGAAATCGGGAAGGCCTAGCCAGTCTCCTGACTGCATACGAGCATCTTGCACACGGCCTTGGACCTCAACCCTTATGGAATACCTGTTTTTATGTTTTTTAATTTTTTTTAACGTTTATTTATTTTTGAGACAGAGAGAGACAGAGCATGAACGGGGGAGGATCAGAGAGAGAGGGAGACACAGAATCTGAAACAGGCTCCAGGCTCTGAGCTGTCAGCACAGAGCCCAACGGGGGGCTCGAACTCACGGACCGCGAGATCATGACCTGAGCCGAAGTCGGCCGCTCAACTGACTGAGCCACCCAGGCTCCCCATACCTGTTTTTATGTATAAACATTCCCGGGAGCGCCGAATGGAGGGGCCGTGCTGACCAAGGGACGGCGTTCTCTCAACGCCGGGCTGCGACTCTGTGTTTGCTCCTGTGACTACCAGCTTGTTAGACGGTTGGGAGTGACTTAGGAAGGACGCCGGGAAGCCCGGAGCACCGACGGAGGTGACTGAGCGAGTCCCCTCACGTGTGTCTCTCGGCCCAGAATTACCTGGAGAGGTTCTACCAGCTGCCGCGGGGCAGATACCGGTCCGGACGGAGCAACGGCACCAGTGTGGTTGTGGACAAGCTCAGAGAGATGCAGCGATTCTTCGGCTTGAACGAGACGGGGAAGCCAGATGAGCAAACGCTGGATATGATGCAGAAGCCGCGCTGCGGGGTGCCTGACAACGGGGACTTCATGGTGACCCCGGGAAACCCCAGGTGGAAACATACGAACCTGACCTACAGGTGAGATTCCCGAGCTTCGGGACGCGTTAGGGGTGTTCACGAGCGTGTGTGACGCACCAGGCGCTGCTCCAGGACACGGGGCCCACGGGACCCCGTGTCCCCACCCCGGGGAAACCAGAGTCTAGTGAGTGAGGCCAGGGGGGAAAGAGCAAAGACCCCACAGGCTCTCCTCACCCCAAAGCCTCCTCCAAGTCTAAGGGACGATGGCCACATCAGACTGTCCCTCTGTGAACCCCCTTCAGGCCCCAACAAAGGCTTAGTCATTACTCCCCGCGTATCCCGATGAGAACGATCTCCATCAAATACCACGATCTGCCGAGTCCTGAGTGGAAGGCCCTACATGTATTGAATCCCCCAACAGCCCTCTGAGAGGGGAGCTATGTTATGATCCTCCTCTTAGGAACAAAGACACCGAGTTTGAAGATACGGAGGGACTTGTCCGCAGCCCCGAGCCCTCATTAGACCCTGTCCAGGGGCAGCGCATCATGTCACTGACCCCCAGGTGGATGAGCTCAGTGTGGTGACACCCCGTGTGCTCATTTTGAAGGATCCTGAAGTACACCACGCAGTTGTCCCAGGCCAAGGTGGAAACTGTCATTAGCACAGCCTTTCAAATATGGGCTAACGCATCATCCTTGACCTTCACCAAGATCTCGCAGGGAGAAGCGGACATCAATATCGCTTTTTACGAAGGAGGTAGGCCCTCCGCCCTCGAGCTCAGTTTTACTTTCCCGAGCTAACCTGAGACTCGGCAAGGACCTGATACGGGTTGTTCTATTTCAGATCATGGTGACAATTCTCCATTCGATGGACCCAATGGAATCCTCGCTCATGCCTTCCAGCCAGGCCCAGGTATTGGGGGAGACGCTCACTTCGATGAACAAGAAACATGGACCACAAATTATGAAAGTAAGTTAACCAAGGGCATGTCCACATGCAGCTTCTGAGTGAACTTTGTCATGTTAGCAGCACCACGTAGATACATACACACATCCAAGGGGTTTTAACATTTCAAACCCACACAAATGGACCTTTTTAAAATTTCCCTACCCCTTATTAGGTCAACTTAGGTTTTTGAAAAGCCTAAGGCTAAGTACTGACCTTGTTTCCTAGGATAGAAATCAAAAGGCTACAGACGACGGGTAAATCCAGCCAGTCCTGTTTGTATAAAGTTTTATTGAAACAAGGCCCCCTTGTTTATGTACCATCTATGGCTGTTTCCATGGCACAACAGCAGAGTTGCGTACCTCCTACAGAAGTACTCACAGAAATCACAAAGCCTAAAATATTTACTATCTAAACCTTTACAGAAAAAGTTTGCTGACCACTGCTTTAGGGGATATCTTTCTTTTCATATTCTGAAATTTAATGATGTTTGGAAAAGGTCCCTGTTTTTGGAAATCCAGAAACAGTTGGGTTCATTTAGAAACCTATCACAGTTGGGTTCATTTAGAAACCTATCCCACTTGGAAATGAGCCGCCATCTTTCTTGTCAAGTTATGTCATCTTTGTGGAGCTCTTCTTCAGTGGTGTGTTCCTGGGGACAAACTAAACCTTTCAGGAGAAGACTCATGATAAGAGTCAGATCACCTGAAGGGAAGGATTGAGAATAAGGACAGGTGTATCTGGACCATGTGGTACTTCACAAGGCCACAAGTAACAATACGCCACAGAACACATTCTAGAAAGTAGGAAAGGAACCTTTTATCCTTGCTTGGGACCTGTTCTTCCCACCATTTTCTCAAAGAACCAAGTTTCTCCCACCAAGTTCTCAAAGAACTTATTCTACCCAAGTCCCTGTGCTAGGAGCTGCCTATACCCTAAGACAGATAACACTCTCCGCTACTTAGAATTCCTAGAGCCCTCCTCACCGATCCACATGGTCATTCCCTCTTACCTGAACTAAATGACACAGGTTCCCACCTGGACTCTTTACCTCAAGTCTCTGCTCCCTCTAATTTTTCCTAGCACGATAGCAAAATTTATATTTGGAAAGCCTATCTTGGATTACATTACTCTCCTACTTAACCTTGCAGTGTTTACATTTTCTGCAACAAATAATATCCAAATACCTTTCCTTGGCATTGAAGCTCTCCGTAGTTTTACACCCTCATCTTTCATGGCTGTCTTCCTGTGTCGCATGCTGCAGCCACCTTGTGCATTCACCGTTCCCACATGACAGCCCCTGCTTTCCAACCTCCCTACATTTGCTCACATTGTGCCCCAAGCCCCCCCTTTCAAAATCTCTTTCTGTGCTATGTCACATGCCACCCCTCTGTTGTCTTGCAGCTGGAAATGAGGACATTCTCCTCAGAATCCCGACAGTCTTCGTGTCTCTTTCTCTAGCTGCTCTCCTCACTGTTTGGTGATATCCAAGTTGTTGGCATTCATCTCTCCTTCTAGACTGTGCATCATGACAAATCCCCCACATTTGGTTGCCATTCAAGGCCCAACACTCAGAGATGTTTTTGGAGATGCATTCATGATTGCAAAAATACAAGGACGTGATGGTCAAGACAAAAATGTCTTGGAGCATGGGTAGAATTAGTGTAGGCTAATTGTCAACAGGAAGTTGAACGTTGTAGTTGGAGAATGGGGCTTGCCCTTGTACCTGGATTTGACCCCAGCTCTACCACTTATTATTGCAAGACCCGTAAGGAGATACCTGAAATCTGTGGGATTCAGTTCCTTTACTGTAAAAACATTTCTAACAATACTTCATACAAATGTTGCGAGGACTAAATGGTATTATACTTCCTAGTATATGGAAAGTACTCTACAACCCTAGTTACTAATGTATAAGAGATAGGTGTGTAACAAAATGCTCAGCCTGTCTGTGAGATGGCCAGACTGAGAGATTCACATCACGAGTCAAATCCTCATGTGTCTGCTGGGCAAGTGAGGAGGTCTTGGACTTGGCCAAGGAACTTGGGTACTAATTGCCAGGAGCGCGAACCTTGGAAGTTTGGGTTCCCAACTGGCAAAGTCATTGTGCTCCTGGAAGTTAGAGATGGGGGAAGGAGCAGTGTTTGTCTGTTTCTGGAGGGGAATCCTTGAAGCTGCTTCGAGAATTCAGAATCTGGGAAGAGCTGGTGCCCGCTGAGACTCTACTGAAGCTGAGGGCTTGGGAGGCTGGAGAGGGCTGCTGAGCATCAAGAGACCATGGTGGCAGCCTCAGGTCCACACTCATGGAGTACCGGAATCAGAATGAAGGCAGCTTTTCTTGGTCCTAAGGTTTGATGCGAAGCTCACTTAATCTGAACGTGTAACTCCTACCTTGACTGATTCCAATCTCCATTTCTCCAGAAGCCTGCAGGAGAAATGCAAAAGAAGGCTTGGGCAGTGCTGTTTCTCCAGGAGCTTTTGGCTTGGAAGCTGCATTCCTTGAGATCAGAATTTCCTCCACCCTTGGATCCACTTGGAGCCATTCACCACATGTGCTTGCATTGCAGATTATAATTTGTTTCTTGTTGCTGCCCATGAATTTGGCCATTCCTTGGGGCTCTCTCACTCCACTGACCCGGTTGCCTTGATGTATCCCATCTATGCTTTCCGTGAACCCAGCACCTACACCCTCCCTCAAGATGACATCAACGGCATTCAGGCCATCTATGGTAAGTTTATCGGAAGAACACTGTGGTACACGGCGAGGTGTGGCACATCAAGGATGTTCTTCCCGGTCTTGTCTGTGGTGGTGGAAGTTGGAGGGCTCCTGGGGTCTGTCGGGAAGAAGGTACTGGTCAAATTTGGTGGATGTGCGCCATAGACTAACGCCAGGCAGGGACACCACTGAATTAGAAGTGCGCGTGGCAACAACAGAGATGGGTCTTCAAAACTTTGTGCTTCGTGGAAAAAAAAACCAGAATGATGCATATCACACAGTGTTGAAATTACACAGTATATGATTCCACATACATTAAAATGCATATAGACAAAGAAGGCATTTCAAGAAACATGCCAGCAAGCAGATACATATTGCCCATAATAAAAGTGTTGTCTGTGGAAAACAGAATGGGAATAGCAGTGGAGGATGCAGAGAAAGAAACATCTTTTAAGGACATGGCTGATGCTCTCAGGGAGGGACCTAGACAAGCCCAGATCTTATACATCTCCTCCTGCTGCCTTCCTGGTCTCTAGAGGCTGTAAGAACGAGAAACCCGTGAGATGGTAGGAGGGTCTGTAAACCAGTGTGGAGCAGAGTTGGGGACAGCAGCACAGAACCAGGCACACCAGGAACCCTAGCTCGGGAACCTTCTCATGATGATAGAATTTTCCAGAAGGATGAGACCTGCTCTATCCTCCCCAACTCCTTTCCCCAAAAAACACCTCCTTCCTTTTCCCATCAGTGTTTTAAATTCTCTCAGCTACTAGCATAGCCCTTCATTCTACAATGAAAAAACACATGAAAACGCAAATACCCATAGGAAAAAAATACTGCTAAAATATGACTTAGGTTTATGCTACAGGTTCAAGGACCAATACCAGTTCCCTTCCTGAAGGTGGGTTTGGCGGGGAAGCAAGAAATGGATCCTGGGTGACAAAAATGTGGAAAGAACCAAGAAGGGGGAAAGGATGGGATTCGGATTTTAAAGTGGAGGGCGGGGAGGGGGAGACATAGAATTCAAATTGTCTTACTTCACAACTTGACCTGGACCTTTCTCTCTAAAAATCACCATGGTTGTTTAAAATAATGATAATAACTTTAAGAGGGCCAAATGTACATTCCCTTCATTGCCTTGTGAGATAGTCTGGTAGGGTTTCTCTTCATGCGGAAACCCTTCCCCTTCTGAGAAGCAATGGGGGTACTCCAAGAGTCACACTGGATTGGACTTTAAAAAGCTGCTTCTCTTTCTCCTCCTCCTCCTCCTCCTCCTTCTCCTCCTCCTCC